GTAAAAAAACAAAACATACACTCTCCTTGGTTGTGGAACTCAGTAAAAAAACAAAACATACACTCTCCTTGGTCGTGGAACTCAGTAAAAAAACAAAACATACACCCTCCTTGGTTGTGGAACATAGTAAAAAACAAAACATACACTCTCCTTGGTCGTGGAACTCAGTAAAAAACAAAACATACACCCTCCTTGGTTGTGGAACATAGTAAAAAACAAAACATACAGTCTCACTTGGTACTTTTTGTTGCTCGTTCTTATCTGGTTTTAAAGGACAGACACTGAAATACAGAGTACTCTAGCTTCTAATAGTACGAAATTGTGTGAATCAGAACGCTGATGTCGGCGACGAAATACTGTCTATAGGAACTCGCAATATAGATAAGATCAGGAGAAAAATCGTTAGAGAAAGACGATAATACCGGTTATCATTAATGCTGAAGTTCTTGAGTATTATTGAGTTTTAGTATGTAACTATATATTTTATTATATAATAGGGGAGGAATTGAATTTTATTCTGAAAAGCACTTTATACGATGCTCATATGGACTAAATGGGTAGGTCCAGGATCCCAATTATGTAAGTATAGCCATTCTTAATTCTGAAATATCGACCTGAAAGAAGGCAACTAGGCAGCAGCAGCTATCATTAGGCCTTTGTCCGGTTCTTTGAAATGAATAGTGAAATTGGTTGTTATCTTAATAACGCTTTATAAAGCTAACAACGTGGAGCATGTTCAGCGTCATCACGTCTCAAGCCCAAGACTCTCCCGATCTGCAGCTTGACAAATTATCCACTAGGCTACGCCAGGACAAATGCATAAAATTTACATGGTTACTTATTTATTATTATTATTATACTGATGTGTAATAATTCTTGGAAGTCATTTTTTAAAGTAATAGATGCCCAACTAATATCTTAAGCACAAAACCAAAGGCCAATATTAATCATCGGTTTCTGACATCTGAACTTACCCTGCAGCACAAAGTTCCATTATATAGGTTATTTTAACCAAGAAAAAAGCCGAGGGCAATGCTACTCATCGGTTTCTGACATCTGAACTTACCCTGCAGCACAAAGTTCCATTATATAGATTATTTTAACCAAGAAGAAAGCCGAAAGCAATGTTACTCAT